GCACATCCTAGACTCCTAGACAGAGGAGCAGTGAGTCAGGAGAGGACTTGTTCCCATAACTAAAAGGAGGCCAGGACAGCAACCACCCATGAGAGGACAGGAGAAGGTAGGGGCAGGCAGACCATGACAGAGCGTGAATTTCATTCTGGCCCCTGAAACCAGGGAGTGATTAAGATATAGTTAAAATTTAAAAGACCCCTCTGGCTACTGTGGGGAATGAACATGGGGTGGGAGGGGGTTGGCAAGAGTGAAATTAGGAGACAAACCAGACTAGTGCCATCTGGGGCAAGAGAAGGTGATGCCCTGGACTGGAGCAGCCATGGCAGACATGGGTGGCAGTGGCTGGATTTGATATACACACTATGCAGACTGGATCTGGTGGGAGGGGAGAAGAGAAGGGAATCAAGGATCATGCCCCAGTGTGAGCGTTTGCTGACAGGAAGAAAACAGTTTCAGATATGTCCAGGCTGAGGGGCCTGTGATACTCCATGGGAAAGCATCAAGTAGATCTCTGACTCGGCAGAGTTGGCAAGAGAGATCTACGCTGAAAGTGTAACTTTGGGGGTCATCAGCACGGAAATGGTTTTCAAAGCTGAGGGAATGGATGAGATCACATGAGAAGGGAGTAGAGAGAGAAAAAGAGAGGAGGACCTAAGATGGGGCCATGGAGAATTCCATATTTAATGATGTAAGTACAGGAAGAGGAACACCAAAAACAGATAAGAACTGTAGAAGGGAGGAAAACCAAAGGAAGGTGGTGTTAAGGAAGACAAGAGAGGAGATGCTTCGATGAAGGCCAAATGCCAGATGTGGAACAGAGTAGGATAAGGACAGAAAAGTGACATTTAGGTTTTGTAATATAGAGTTCCACAGGCATCCACTTAGATAAAAGGAATTTCAGTCTACTGACAGAACTGGAAATCATACTGAAGTAGTTAATGAGGAACTGGGAAAACAGAACATAAATAGACCTTTAGTAATTAAATCAGTAGTTAAAAATCTGTACTTCTTCCCTCAACAAATTAAAAAAACACTAGGTTTTTGCTAAGTTCTATCAGATCTTCACTATAGTAGATAATTTTTTATCTTACACAAACTATAAACTGTTCCAGAGAATACAAAAGAAAGGAAAGATCTCCGCTTATCTTTTAAGGCTTTTAAAACCTTGTTACCAAATTCGGACAAGGATTATGGTATGAGAAAGAAAAATTCAAGGCTAGCCTCATCTCAGTTCACAGAGGTAGATACTCTAAAAATTAGCAAACTAAATCTAATAACATAGGAAAAAATCATTACACATCATGACCAAGTACAGTACATCCCAGGAGGCAAAAATGATTTAACATTAGAAAATGTATTAATACTTATTAACATATTAATATAGTAAAGGAGAACAAATACAGTGCAATCAATAGATTCAGAATATGCATCTGATAAAATTCAAAATACACACACTCAGTGTATGTGTACACACACACACACACACACACACACACACATGAATATTATTCAGCCTTAAAAAAAAAATAAAAGCTTGCCATTTGCAATGATGTGGATGGAGCCAGAGAGTAAAATGCTAAGTGAAATAAGTCAGTCAGAGAAAGGCAAATATCATATGATCTCACTCACATGTGGAATTTAAGAAACAAAACAAATGAAGAAAGGGAAAAAAAAAGAGAGTTAAACTGAGAAACACCCTTAACTATAAAGAACAAACTGATGGTTACCAGAGGGGAGGTAGGTGGGAAGATGGGTGGAAGAGCTGATGGGAATTAAGAGTACGTTTATCCTGACAAGCACTGAGGAATGTACAGAATTGCTGAGTCACTATACTGCAGACCCGAAACTAATGCAACATTGTATGTTAACTATACTGGAATTAAAATTAAAAACTTAATTTTAAAAAATGGAAAAAAAAACCCCAAATACACACATTCATGATTTTAAAAAAACAACACCTAGTGAGCTAGGAATAGAGAGAAATTTCCTTTTGCTAATCAAGGATATCTATCCAAACCTGCAATAAATATAGTATTTAATGGTGAAAAGTTAGAAGCAATCTCTCTCTCTCTCTCTCTCTCTCTTTTTTTTTTGTTTAAGGATTATTTATTTATTAGAGAGAGCAGCAGAGAGAGGGAGAAGCAGGCTCCCGGATGAGCAGTGTCAGAAGCATTCTTTTTAAAGTCAGGAGTAAGACAAAGCTATTCACTATTGCTGCTCCTCTTTAATAATAAAATATAAGAAGAAAAAGTAATAAAAAAAAACAGAAAGGAAGAAACAATGCCATCATTCACTAATATAGTATGATTGTATACACAGAAAAATCTAAGAGAATCTAAGACAAACTACTGTAATTAATGTTAGCAAGGTTACTAAATGCATTCAAAATACAAAAGTCAGTGGTACTCCTGTATAGTAGCCACAAAAAAGTTGGATGCTATTAATAAAAAATTTATAATAGCCACCAAAATGGCAAGCTACCTGGGACTTATAAAATATGTGTAAGACCTTTATGAAGAAAATCTTAAAATTTTATTGAGGTACGTTTAAAAAACAGAAAGAAAATGTATAAAAAGATACAGGGAACCCCTGGGTGGCTCAGTCAGTTAAGCGTCCGCCTTCAGCTCAGGGTCCTGGGATCGAGCCCTCCATCAGGATCCCTGCTCAGTGGGGAGTCCGCTCATCCCTCTGCCTCTGCCCTTCCCTGGCTCACTCTCTCTTTCTGCTCTCAAATAAATAAATAAATAAAATCTTTTAGGAAAAGATATCAAGTTCATAGTAAGGAAAACCTTATATTATAAAACTGTCAAATCATACAAATATAATTCATAAGTCAAGGAAAGTCAAAAGAGTTTCGAAGAACTGTAGGTAGGAGCCTCACCCTATCTGACATCAAGAAAAAAATTGGGGCTATCTTCCTTTTCTTGCTATGAAGGAACATGATTTAGGAGTAGCACTCCTGGCTTCTCTCCATCCTCTCACTCTCTCTGTGCGGACAAGGGCCTTTTCTGATGGGTGAATTTAGAGTGAAAAATAAAACCTGGGTATTCTTGGCTTAGTCCCATCTGGTTTCCCACAGGAGTCTCTGACTGCTCTCCATGGTGTAGTGAAGGGCCTGCCTCTGTGGAAAAAGCCGGGGATTCTCTAGTTCACAATGCAACCGTGAAGGGAAGTTTTATTTTGAGTGACATTTCTGCAAGCCCTTTTTATTACAGATCTTAAGTCATATTTTCCAAGAGGCTTCATCAGTAATGAAACTGACATTGTGACTTCTATTAGTCTGTCTCTTGTATCTCCTCTCTTAAATGGTCCCAAATTTAGGGGGGAAAGGATACTATTTATTGGGCACCCCAAATCTCAACATGACTTACAGAAATTTTATCTTATAATAGTTTAAAAATGTGGTATTAGCCCATAGATAGATAAATACAACGAAGGAGCAGAACTGCGAGCCTGGAAACAGACTCACGTATATAAGTAAACTTGGTACATGAAAGAGATGACATTACCAAATAGTGGACAAAAGACAGAGTCTTCAATAAATAATACTGGGACAATTTGCTGTCTGGACTGAGCAAGGTTCATTTAGTGATTCATCAGGTGGTATTATGGGTGGCCTCTTTAAAAAAATAATTTTAGGTTATTTATTATTTGTATTATAAAGCCTTTCATTAATTATATATCTTATTTCCAACTAGATCACAACCCCTTGAGGGTAGGGAATCTTACATTTCCCGTTAACCCTTCAGAGTGCCTATCACTGAGCTTTACACAGAGACAGCACTAAGTAAATGTCTGCTGGTTCATTATTATTTTACATTAAAACTCAATTCCTATCCCTCATGCCTCAGGGCATACAGGTCCACATCAGTATTAGGTATTTCTAATTATTTTGATATTCTGACTAGTAGGATTCTTTAAACAACTGTGCATTGACTTAACAGGAGTCCTATCTAAAATCACACAACCAGAACATGCATTTTGAGGTTCAAAAAGGACAAAAGTAAAAAATGTCAAAATAAAGGTTAAAGATGTCGCTTTCTCATTATTCTCAAGGCTCATCCTTATGGCACAGAAGAAAATGAAACCAATCTTGTACCTTCCTCCCCACAAGTAATTTTTCTGTCTAACCTCTTATTTATTCTCATCACAAAATGGTGAGAGGAGCAGGGCAGGGATTACAGATGAGGAAATTAAGTTTCTAACAGGTTACACTTTAGGTTCACCCAGCAGGTTAGAAAAAGATGGCAGACGAGGAGCCAGTGTTCTTTAGAAGAACATATGCTGTTCCCAGCTGTGTAGCTCTTGAGGCCTGATTTTCATTTACGAGATTGTCAGTTACTGCCCATCGCCCCAAAATTCAAACTTCGAGAATTACTCAATGGCTAGTACACACAGCTTTCCACTTATTTATATCAGATGAACCAATCTCGTGTTTTTGCAATAGACTTTTCCTTGCTCCTTCTCTTTTTCAAAGAGCCAGTCTACCTTGACAAAGCATTTGCAAGCAGCAATTTGCCCTCATGGTACAACAGGCACTGACATCAAATATAAGACACATTCTAGCACGTGTCTCCTGGTCTCAGACTAGGTCCTGCCAAGCTGACCCTATTCACTGTCTGTTTTTTTCCCTTAACTCTCACGGCCACTGATCACGCTGTTACTTCTGTAGTTATATCCTTCACCTGTTCTTTGAGGAAGTCCTAGTGGCCCCACATCTCCCTTTTGTGAATCACACTCAAGGATTCCGCACCCAGCCGACTTCCCAGTGTTCAAACAATACCCCTTGAGCCCACTCTCCTCCTGAGGACGCTTCACCTTGCTTACCAAGACTGGGGATTAGACCCACACATGAAAATGGCTGCCTTTCCTTTTCTTCAAGCATCTTAATAAAGAAGGAAACACAGAAGGCAGGTGAGGAGCAATGGGGAAACCAGGAAAGTTTCTCAGGATTATTATCCGCATTCCAGTTTCTGGGTGTCAGAGATAAAGGTACTCACCACCTGACCATTAGTCCATGTTCCATGAAGTTTTTCAGGTTAGGGAGGGTTTGCCTCAAGTCTGGAGTCCCTAGTCCATGTTGATATCTTAGCTGCAAAGATGGAAAAATAGAATTAAGAGAAATTCTGCCAGATACGAGGCAATGTTTCCCAAACACAATCCATTCACTGCATTTTTTTCCTTCTTTCGAACTCTAAAAGAGGATATGTAAATATATGACCCCAACATCACTGACCACACTTATGAATGGTATTTAAAGGGAGACTCTTGGGGCGCTTGATCGCCCAGTCAGTTAAGAGTGTGCCTTTGGCTCAGGTCATGATCTCACGGTCCTGGGCTCCCTGTTCAGTGAGGAGTCTGCTTCTTCTCTCCCCACCCTTGCACCCCCACCAGCTTGTGTATGTGTTCCCTCTCAAATAAATAAACAAATAAATAAATAAAATTAAGGTAGCCTTTTCACCTCCTGCTCCCTTGTTTCCTAAAGCTGGAGAAGACAAAGAATGCCAAACTATGGAATCAGCATATTTCAAAGAGCCCTGTAGCGTTGGCTAACATCAACTCCAGAGACATACACTGTAAAACAAGTATTTTATTATTATTATTTTTAAAGATTTTATTTATTTGGGAGAGAGAGAGACAGAGATAGTGAGAGAGAGCATGAGCGGGGAGGAGAGGGAGAAGGCGGCTCCCCACTGTGCAGGGAGCCCAATGCAGGGCTCGATCCCAGGACCCTGGGATCATGACCTGATACAAAGGCAGATGCTTAAACGACTGAGCCACTCAGGCGCCCTTCAGTATTTTGTTTTCGATACTGGACGGCTGGCATTACATACTCTGGGCACATTCAGCCCATCTTTCACTGACTCTTTCCTTTTGTATAACAACCAAGGTTAAGGATCATGCTGTGTTCATCTCTAATCCCCAACAGTGTCTGCCAGTGCCAGCACTCAGTTAATGCTTGCTAAACAAATAAATAGCAAGCCACTTTTGAGGACAATGTGCTCTGTTTTTCTCTTGGATTCCTAACTTTCCCTTTTGTCCAGAACTAGTACACAGAGCTAGAGAGCTGGTAGGAGAGGCACTATGGCCTATGGATGGATCTGGTCTTAGTCTTACTTATTTCTGCTAGAACTGATTTTCCAACCCTAGGTCCTTCTGTGTACCTAGGTAACTTGCTAAATGGTTTTCATGGTCTGTTCCTTGTCTCTGAACACCATTTGCTTCCTTAACTGGTCATGACAGAGATCTGCGGTGAATATATGTGCATATTCATATCCATGCTCTCTCTCCCTCACACACACATCAAATACACAGTAAAGGTACAGTAGAAATGTATTTTTCAAATGACATATATGAAAAAAGTACTCTGTAAACTGTGTACTGGTGTGCAAACATGAAGGATAATCACTTGTGAAGTCTTATTTTTCCAGCACCTAAATTTAAAAGTGACAAAATCAGGGGCACCTGGGTGGCTCAGTGGGTTAAAGCCTCTGCCTTCATCTCAGGGTCCTAGGATCCAGCCCTGCATCGGGCTCTCTGCTCAGCAGGGAGCCTGCTTCCTCCTCTCTCTGCCTGCCTCTCTGCCTACTTGTGATCTCTGTCTGTCAAATAAATAAATAAATAAAATCTTTAAAAAAATTAAATTAAAAAAAAGTGACAAAATCAAACTTCTAAATATTTTCCCCTCTTAAAAAATAAAACCACTATGAACAACAACAAAAAAATAGTTCTCTTTTTTTTTGTATCTAGTACTGAACTGATTTTTTTTTTTAACTTAAGTGTGACACTTAGCAGAGAAGAGTTTACTTTCACTACCCTGAACTTTTAAAGGAAAACCCCCCAAACCTAATCAGATCTCTTGAATGGTCCAAATACACACATAAAGAAGGAAAAAGGAAACACAGAATGTTAAAAGTAAAAGGGCATTTTGAATACAATTTAAGCTAATCCTTTCCTTTTGCAGGTGGGGAAACTGAAGGCCAGAAAGGGGAAATAAATTCTCCAGGGCCACGTGTTTCAATAACAAAGATATTATTAGCTACAGCCTCATTCTCACAACCTAGCTATTCCACCATCTACCCCAAAGTCTGAGAGGAAAATTGGTTGAAATACTTGAGAAGACAGAGGGAAAATATCCTTTTCCTTTTCCAAAGCTAGCTTGGTGACCTAAATCACCTCCCGAGATTTGCTGACCTTGAATTATAAGATCTACTCCATATTAAATGACATCATTTCTTAAATTAATATAAAAGCATTTTTTCCATACATTGATAAAAGTAAAATGGCTGATATCCCAATGTGACATTCCTGAATTCATTGTTTCAATAAAAAAGTGAAATTGTTTACACATGGCATGGAAATTTCACCTGTGATTCATACTGAAAAATATTAAATATTAAAAAAAAACCCTAACTCATACTGAAATAACACAAAGCTCTGTGTCCCTGAGCCAGTACATAGTCAACTGCCGCTCCAGGTTCCACAGTGGAAGGCTGCTGTTGCATTCTTTGCAGAGACCACAATGAAAATTTTTCTTCAAGACTGATTTCAACCAAAAAAGGAAAATATGGGAAATTCGAGCCTCTACCTCTATATTTGCTATACTGCATTATCATTTTTATCATAGAATCATAGGAATAGGATATTATAGCTTAAAGAGATCCTGGAGATCATTTTTCTAACCTCCTTCCTTTCATAAATGAAGAAATGAAGGCTCAGTAAGGCAAGTGTCCTGCCCAATGTCACAGAGCTGACAAAGGACAAAGCCAAGGCTGGAATTTTAAAAAATTTTTATTTAGTTTTAAAATCCAAGTATAGTTACTACACATACCCTGTATGATGAATGTTGAATCAATATAATCAACCCTGATGCAACATTCATCATGTATAATGATTCAATAATTCTGTACATTAGTGCTTATCCCAGTAATTGTACTCTTAGTCCCCATCACCTATTTTACCCATCCCCCCTTCCCCTCCCCTCTTGGAACCATCAGTTGTTTTCTGTATCTCAGAGTCTGTTTTTGGTCTCTTTTTTTCCTTACTTGTTTTGTTTCTTAAATACCACATATGAGTGAAATCACATTGTCTGACTGACTTATTTCACTTAGGATTATATCCTCTAGGTCTATGCATGTTGTTGCAAATGGCAAGATTTCATTCCTTTTTATGGCTGAGTAATATTCCAGAGTAATATCGTGTGTGTGTGTGTGTGTGTGTGACATCTTCTTACCTTCCACTGCATGTATATACACGTGTAATATTTATATATATCACATCTTCTTTATCCTTTCATCTATGGATGGACCTTTGAGCTGCTTTCAGATCTTGGCTATTGTAAATAATGCTCCAATAAACAAATAAACATAGGGGTGCATATATCCTTTCAAGTTACTATTTTTGCTTTCCTTGGATAAATACCCTGTAGTGGAATTTCTGGATCATAGGGTAGTTCTATTTGTAACTTTTTGAGGAGCTTCTCCACTGTTTTCCACAGTGGTTGCACCAGTTTGCATTCCCACCAACAGTACATGAGGGTTCTTTTTCTCCACATTCTCACCAACACCTGTTGTTCATAGTGTTTTTGATTTTATAAGGCTAGAATTTCTTTTCATTCTTTTTTTTGAATTTTTGAATTATTTTGAATTTTTAAGAACTTCTTAAATTTTAATTTTCAACATATAAAACCAAAAAAATTCATATAATATACATATATTACATTTTAAAAATAAAGTACGCATACTATTTAATAAGCCTAAATTGCTCCAAGGCTTATAATGAAAAAGCAAATTCTTTGCTCTTCAGTAGCAACTACTTTTAGCTGTTTCTTCTTTATCTTCATATTTCTAAGTAATATGATTGTATTAATTTTCCTGTTCTTTCCTATTCTTCCCAGTTTTAGACCTCATCTACTGTGTTCCTATTATGAAAAATAAAAATTCAGCTTTTATATTACTCTTCTCTTACACAAACATTTTATTCCCTCACCCATCCATCATCTATTGATTTTTTGTTAAAGAATATGAGGATTTAACTATCCTCCCTGATAAACTTCCTTTATCCTCAAGATATTCAATACCACATTTTTGTTAGATCAGTATTTCACGCGTCTCTTATTATACCTGCAGAGATACTTGGCAAAGACACTGCCAAGTCTGTCTTTTGACCTATTCCTTACTCTATGCTCTATGAGGTACCTGATACCTAAGTCCTTCTGGAGTCCTGTGGCTTGAATTGCAGTGCTGCTTGAAGGCTTTAGGTTTTGGTTTTCTCCATTCTGTCAACTCAGTTTATCACTCATTTATTTGTTTGCATTCTTCTAAAATTTTGTTGACTATCACTCACTCTTGTCTCTTCTGTTTTTTTCATCCTCATGAGTTTGCAAATTTAAACTGTTTTATCTTTATTAGTAGTATTTCATTAGGGAACAGACATAAAGGAGGATATTTAATTTGTTTATCAGGCAGCATTTCAAAAGTGGCTAACAAACTTCCTTATACCTTTTACAGAGTACTCAATGGAGCTCTATTTTCTGTCTTTAAGTCTCTCTCTAGGCATCATCCATCTGGCCATATTCTATCCATTCTCAAAGAGCCAACACAAGTTCCATTTCCTGTAGGTGGTTCTCTCTGACTACTCCAGGACAAGGAAGCATTTTACATCTCTCCTCAAATCTCTTCCTACACCATGTTTGCATGTACTGTCTTTGGAAAGCCCTAACTAATTCAGTAGGTACTTGATAAATATTTGTTAGTAAGTTAAATCAATGGAATATGAGAGACAATGAGAGGCATCATGACAGCAATGAGCTTCAATGGAGATCTGTAAGTGACAGTGCTGTCACTTCCTAGTTGTCTGACTTTGGATGTCATTTTGCTTCTCTGAGGAGTTTCAGTTTCCTCACTTGTAAAATGGTGAATGTTATCTGTCTTGCAGAGCTGTTGTAACGTTTAAATAAGACAAAGTATCTGGAGTACCCCAAACAATATCTGGTAAATAGTAAGTGCTCAATAAACTATACTTATTGCCATTTTAATACATATATGCTCTATATGTTTTCATTATCATAGCATCTACCACTAGGCTGGGCAT